CTGGCACGCCGTCAACTTGTTGCGTTGGCACGCCGTCGACTTTGCACTGCTGGAGCGCGGTCGACCAAGTCGTGCTGGAACGCGGTCGACCATGCTGCGCTGGCAGTCGACCGACCTGAATGCTAGCTCTGAGTCTTACCATGCCAACTTCTGTGTACCATTGTTGTCAACTTTCTCTAGTAAAACTCTTGCCAACTTGCCCCGTGAACTAGCAAGCAGTGTATGCACTAGGAAAACGACTAAGGATCAACGAACGCAGAGATCACACGAGCACCCGTGCCTAGCCCGTAGTCTAGCTCCCGTTGTAGTAGTTATCTCCGCAGGTTCGCTATCAGCCGCTCCAGGCTCTGGTCCGTGCAACCTCCCTGCGCGTCCAGAACCGCCGAGATTATGTTCTTGGCTCCTTCACCGTTAGTCTGAGGGTCCTGCAGTCTCCAGAGGCCCGGTCCAACTCCTTCCGATGAGGCTGCCTTAAGTGACATCGCCGCTGCAAACCAATGATCTGTCAACCCATATGGCACCAACTGATGTTTTGCTTCCGTAACGCAGCTGATGAGTGAATGCGAGACCAAAATCCTGTCTATCCTCGTGCTTGTCCGCGCAGATCTCGAGAAGAAAGTGTATTCCTTGCGGGCTGGGTGAAGGCTGCGGAAGGCGTCTTGGAGGTCCCACCCCGCGCAGCTCTGCAAAAACCTCTGATTCTCCGCCGACGACCCCAGCTTAGAGGATTTGTCAAGCTCCGGGTCCGCCACTATGTTGAGGTCGCCTAAGAGAACCGTGTGTGGCGATGTACCCAGTTTCTGCACAAAAGGGGTAAGTACATCCCGAAAAAACACACCCCTGTTGGAAGCCTGCGCCGGTAGGTACATCGCAACCACTCGACATTTCAGGTCATGCCATGCAATCATTAGACTCAGGATCCGTCCCGACTCATGCTTGACTACCTCCGTGAATCTCATCCCTTTCAGGAAACTCAGAACCGCCACCCCTCCGGCTCTCTGCGACGGTGAGACCACCACCTGAGCCTCCGATCCAACCTGTGACCAGAAATTGTGATCCGCCGGGATCCGTGTATCAGTGAGGACCACTATACTGGCTGCCTTCTTTAACCAATTCCTACAGCGTTCTTGTTTCCCGCTGCTGCCGAGCCTGTTGATGTTGAGCTCGAGAAAGGTAAGTCTGTTGTGCTTATCCATTAATCCACTTCGTTGAGCCCCACAGCATCCACGGGCGGTTAAGCTTTATTGCGACAATACAACCAGCTACAGCGAAACAGAGCATGGCACCGACTACGCATCCTGCACCCATGATCCAAGTTGACAGGTAATCCTTCGCTCCGAAACTGGTACCTCCTCCCGAGCCGCTGACTACTTCATTAACAGCTTGACGATGAATTCCTTCTTCAAAGCAGGTAGCTTCTGAGAGTGCTTGCTGGCGCGAGTTGCAACGCCGTCCTTCTTCAGCCTCCCCTTGTGCCTGGCAGATGCAATGTGAGCAGCCGCCTGTTCGAAGCGGTTCCCTTGAGCCTTCTCGCACATAGTTTGCACACACACCCACTCTTCCCGCGCTCCTCCGGTGGATGTGAGTACAACCGCAGGGTCCCTCATGATGCGTTTCAGGAGGGCTGAAGCTTTCAGGGATGCAGCTGCGGGGAGAGGTGAGTAAACAGCCGTCAGTATAGGGTAAGAGGTGGAAAGGAAGCGGTAAGTACTGCAAAGATGGTAGACGAGGATCCTCTCTGCTTATACCATTCATCTCATGAACCTTTTTGACCATCAGGTTCCAGTTGGTGAAGGTCTCCTGCCTCGGGGTGATGTAATGATCGTGATAGCGAGACATGTGCTGTCCACCGCAGAAATCACAGGTAAGCGACGGGAAATGGAGCAGGTACTGCTTTCCTGTCGACGGATCCTCCACAAAGTACCTCCACCGGTATTCGTCAACTGCGATAGCCCGCGGATACGGTCAGTATCTAAGCCCGTGACCGGGTCTACGGTACGGTGGAAACCAAAACCGCTGGCAAAAGCACTCCTGCCGCGCTTGACCAACTTCGACACCACCAGCAGGCAACGGGTCAGCTCTGCGGTAATCTCGGCTGGAATCCCCTTGATCACAACCTCCTTCGCCGTCGGGTTCAAGACACGCTCGCGAAGGAAACGTGCGTCTTCCGGATATTGCCAGGTAAGATCAATGATGTCGCCGTTCACACACTCGTGGCTGATGATTTGACTCCAAACAAAATTCGCGTCTCTGACATGATTGAAGGTAACCTACAGACGGCCGTAGCGTGTGCCAGAGAAATACGTCGCCGTAAGTTCCTGGTAAGTCGTCGTCTGTAAGACATCTGGAGATAACTGCTCCTTCCAGTCGTCCAGCATCGCAACAACAGTCACTGCAGCCCGTGTAACTTCTGCTTTCCTGAGAATCAGCACCAGTAAGGGTAGTGAGAAACGTTTCAACGCAATCACACAGGTGAGCGAATCAGGCTCCAAATGTTCGTCGGAGTCGTCGCTCAGGTAACCGTCATCTTCGTCATCAGGAGCCATGACCGACAACGTCTCTTCCTCGTCTTTTTCATTGTCGCCAGCACCAGTCTCTTCAACCACAACCTTCCCGTCTTTATCAGCAGTCCCTTCCGCAACGGCAGCAGCATCATCTCCAGGACCGTTTCCCTGATCGAGATTCTTCTGCAGATCCAACAGATCCTCGAACGGACCGGTCGTAGCAGCAGACGTGGAAGCAGCATTCGATCGTCCTTTGACGGCAGCGTCCTTCACACGTACGTCAGGTACGTCATCCCCCTCGATTTCGTGCTCATTTTCGACCGTCTTCTTGCCAGTCTTGTTGTTGCGACCCTTTGCCATGGTGCGATGATGAAAACAGCTCGACAACCCGACTATGGCTGAGAAGCAAACTGAGCTGAGCACGAATAACAGCTCCGATGTCGATTTATGCCTCTTGTGCTTGAACGCAAAACGCTGCAGGTCCAGGCCAGATGAAACCGTTGGCTCCTTGGAGGTTGACAACCAGCCTTGGTAGTTGCACCCCACGAGACCAATGGTATCTTGGGAATTGTAAGCCTTAATATCCTCTCGAGTTAATGATAAAGCAGGCTGTAGATCGCGATGAAACCAATGGAGTAGCTTATAACTCTGATTGAAGCCTTGTGCAGGAACCTGACTTGATCTTGGGTGTAGCACTGACGATAGCCTGGAACTCAAATAAAAGGTGTTTAAGTTTCTGTCATGAACACTAAAAGAGCACCGTTGGATAGAGCTTAAAACCGTGCATCAACAGAGTGCTTCAAACCGCTTATCAGGCAAGAAATTGGTACACATTGATTGAGTTAAAGCTCGCCGCCATGGCCATGGATACAGCATCTCAGTAATGGTAGTATCCATCGAAATTGTCAGGCGATTTCCTGCCTCAACATAAACCAACTTTTGTCCTGAATCCCCTTCAATCTCGACGCATACACCCCCACGCAACGCTCCCCCACCCTTTCCCCGATACCCTCTCCCCTCTCTCCCCTTCTCCACACCTTACGCGGAAGCACATTCAGCCATTGATCACTGTCGATCGCAAAAGCATCTCCTTATCCCGAGCCGCGGTTAGCCCCCCCTCCACGCTCTCCCCGCTTCCGCCGCCGCGGGGAATGCTGCCGTAATTTGCCCATCGGCGCTTTCGTCCGCGTCCGCGGCGGTGCGCGGCAAGATCGCGTCGTCTCACGAGCGATCGCGTGCGATTCGCGCGCTTCGCCCCCGACAGACAAACCGCACGCGACAAGATGGTGTCCTTATGTGTATCTAGTCTAGATTTTTCAGTCGACTAAAAAATCGACTTACCACACGCGACATTACGTTTATCTAGTCTAGAGCGACTGGAACAGAAACAGGAATAGTATGGCCAGTGAAAGCTACTATGGAAGTCCGTTTTGGAGCTCGATTTCCTCGCAACCATTCCGTCCCAGCTTCAATTCACCTAGATTGGTTTCGCTACAAGTTGTTGAGCGATATTTGCGAGACGTCTTCTCGCGAAAACTTTGAGAAGCGAAAAGCATACGGAAACGTCGTGTAACCCACCTGCAACGAAAGCCGATCCCTCGGCACTTTATCAATATAACTAGCGCATATGTACCCACACGAGTAATCAACGACGTTCATGTTCTTCTGATCCCCTTCTTAGCGGGTCGGCTAGTAACGCGCGAGCATATCCGAGAAGAATCAGGTCACACCCGTTGACCTCCCCTGCAAAGTGTCAGAAAAAAATACGCGGCGTCAGTTCAATAGATCCTCCCCGCAATTCGCGGCACTACGAAGTGTTCAGCTCTTAGCACGATTGTCTCCAGTTTTAGCGGCGATACACCTCCTTAGAACGTCTCGAAAATCCCTCTCCTTCCGATTCTACTCGTGCCGCATACCAGCTGGCGCCATGTCTCTATTCCAGCCGTTTGTCGCGAAACCGCAGCAACGGTTGTAACGCCGCAAGTCGTGACAGCAACTATCAGCATTCCCGATGCTTCAGGTGCATCAGTTGTTTCGTGGGTTGCATCAGGTGCTTCAGGTTGCGTCATGGGTAAGCTGCTCAGGGCTTCGTCCCGTTTCGGCGTGCCGCAGTGGGGGCTGGGGTGACACTCCGCTCCACTCCCCCTCATTGGTACGTTGTCACGTATCCGTTGAGTGCATCGAGTGGCATTTGATATAGTGTAGGCATGCGTCCCACAGAAGCAAGACGTCGCGAATGGTTGTTGTTCACAGTGAGAATGCTGTAACCCGCTCGCTTAATTCGTGAACTAGTAGCTTCAGTGCATAAATTTCTTTCAGTGATAGACATACATATCCTTTGACTCGATCTTTTTAGAATCCCGAGATCTCATTTGCGAAGGTTACCACTTAGACGAGCGTGATGGCCACGCGAGCAGCAGGCGCTGCTGGACGTGCAGCTCGGCGCGCAGCCTGTAGACTCTCGAGCTCATCCCCGTTATAGTGCTTTTCACTTTTATGCATCCGTTCCCTGCATTCGTCCCCAACTGCAGGATCAACAAGCCGCGCGAGCAGCAGGCGCTGATGGACGTGCAGCTCGGCGCGCAGCCTGTAGACTCTTAAGCATGTCTCTATCATAGTGCTCTTCGCTTTCCTTATAACATTCCCATTACAGATTAGAAGACCACACGAGCAGCAGGCGCTGCTGGACGTGCGGCTCGGCGCGCAGCCTGTGGACTCGTGCTCACCTCGCAGGTCCCCTCATCCATCCACTCCACATCCTTGCTATAAGCGTTAATTCTCTTTAAGACCTTTCTGGGTCCTTTACTGAAGCACATCGACAAGGACTATAGTGTCAACGATTTTTTCTTTTTTTTCATTCGTTTGCCTGTCCTCAAGATCTGAAAAGGGCGTGGGATGCCACGTGGAGGGCTAGAGACGCACAGGTGGCAACTCTCCTTCTTCCCATTGGTCAGTACATGCATAGTGTTGGTCAGCCAGCACAGCTCCCCACAGGCTGTCGGTCCCATACATCCTGTTCCCCTCCCCCCTTCCCCTCCCCCTCCCCCTTCCCCTCCCCCCTCCCCTCCCCCTCCCCCTTCCCCTCCCCCCTCCCCCCATTGCCCTACCTGCCTGCATGCATGCCACGGTGCCACCGCATGGTGACGTGCAGCACAGGCTGCTGGGTTCATGTTTTGAGTCAACTCAAATAGCTCTCTCTTTCCCCAACCGAATCAACTATCCCGCCCGCATGCATTGCCGCTCCACCTTGGCCCCTCTCCCGTCCCCTCCTCTCCGCCTGCAGCCCACCACACGGCAGCGTGCAGCAGCAGCACAGGCTCGCCACAGTCTGCTGGCGCGGCTGTACGCTCAGCTGCAGCACTGCACGGTGGGGTGGGGCGGGGTTGGATGTGGTGGGATGGAGTAGGGTGGGGCGGGACATGGTGGGGTGGGGTGGGGTGGGGTGGGGTAGGGTGGGATGGGGAGGGGTGGCCAATGAGGTAGGGTTAGGGTTTGCCACCACATGGCATCGTAGAGCGCTCTGCATGCGCAGCTGCAGCTGCAGTGGGGTAGTGTGGCTGCTGCTGTTTGGATCGGTCGGTGATGGCTGGACGCTGCAGCACTGCTTGGCTTGGTAGGGTGGTGTGGAATTCTGAGCCGACGTCTACGGTTGGTGGGACTGGTGGTGCGGTTGCTGCTTCCGGAACCTCTGCTGGTAGTGGTGGCTCTTCTGCTGCTGCTGTTCCCCTGCTATCCCTCCTGACTGCCATGGGGGTTCAGATCTGGAAGGAGGAGGGAGAGAAGGAGGGGAGTGAGGGGGCGGGGTGGATAGTCGGGGTGAAGGAGTGTGAAGCTGAAGGAGAAGAGGGGCCCAGTGCAGAGGCGAGGAAAGAAAAGGGGGGAGTAGTGGCGGAGGAAAAAGGGGTGGGAGGGTGGAGGTACGGAAAACGGGCTGTGCTGGCAGCTATGGCGATGGAGGCAGCACAGGAGGTGCTGCCACGTGTCAAGCAGGCATTGGAGCAGATGCGGGCCGGGAATGGTGGGGGTGGAGATGCAGCGTGGCTGCAGGGGTTGGTGCAGCATGAGAGGGTGTGTGGCGGCATGGTGTCAGCAGATGGGGAGAACGCTCCCAATGAGATGGTGAGGTGTTGAGATGGTTGTGGAGTGGTTCAACTGAATGAATGCTCTCAGCTCAGTCCATGCCGTGACTGTCTGGGTGTGTTGCGGCTGGGTGTCAGCAGATGGGGAGAACACACCCAATGAGATGGTGAGATGGGAGTGATGGTGAGATGGGAGTGATGGTGAGATGGGTGGGTGTGGCTGTGGATGGAAGAGTTTACTCTGTTTCACTGTGGCTGTGGGGTGTGTGTCTCAACTCAATGAATGCTCTCACTTTACATCCATCCATCCGCTCTGCCCTCCGTCCCAGGCGATATCAGCATGTGATGCATCGCTGCACATCAAATAAATGTGATGTTCTGGCATGTTTCCATCTGCATAACCATCATATGCCACACCCATCCATGCATCCCCCGTCCCTCCATCCCTCTGCTCTGCCCTCCGTCCCAGGCCGTCTCAGCATGCGATGCAGCGCTGCACACCAAATGGCTGCACCATGAGGGAGGGAAAGGTACGATGTTACCAGCTGCCATGCCATACTGGTGGTGTTCTCTAGGCACTGGCGGAGGGGGAGCGAGGGGAAATAGGAATCTTCCCCTCTGCGTTTTTTGGTTAGACACGCCGGTCAGCCCGTAAAACTGTGCCGAGCCACCTATTTGCCCTCTGAACCAAAACGAAGGTAAATGCCAACAGAACGCTCATTTACCCTCAGGGATGTGGACCACTTGGAAGCTGCACATTTACCCTCCCCACCTTCCTCCTCAGGCAATTTTTGCCTCTCTCGCCTTGCCTTCCGGCAACCACTCTTCACGGGGAAGTGGGACAGCCAGAGAAGAGAGGAGCTGGGGGTAGGAACACCGACGTTCTACCCGTGAAACTAAAGACTGCTTGACTGCACGCCGCACACACACGCGCAAGAACCAGGAAAAAAAAAAAAAAAAAAAAAAAAAAAAAACGTCCCCTTCTTAGTGCAAACCCTAGTGAGGTGTTTGTTCCTGGTGAGGTGTTTGTTTCGAGGAGTCACCCTAGTTTTTGTTTGTAACCATTTTTCCCTGTTCGCGCCAAATGCGATACCCCGTTTCTGGACCAGGAAAATGTACCCACATGTTCTTCATTTACCGTCGGAGCCTTCCACCCCTCGCGTTCGAAATTTCCCATCTTAGGTTGTAGCGGGAGGTGGAGAAATCGAGCCCCGAAACACCTTTCGGAACCATCATCATTTACATTCGCCCCCCCTCCTCCCCCCCCCCCGCAGGAGTCACCAGAACACCACCATTGTGCCATGCTGTGACGTTACTTGCCATACCATGCCATGCCATGACATGCCATGCCATGCCATGCCATGCCATGCCATGCCGTGACGTGCCATGCCATGACGTGCCATCCAATGCCATCCAAGGCATTCACATGCTTCATTAATTGTGAATGCAATCTCGAGCTGAATCCAGCTTGTGGCATCAGACCAAACATTATTGTCCTTCTGTGAACGTTCTTTTTGTTCTGGTGGCACTCCCTTTGGCAGGTGCATGGTTACAGTACCGGCTCAGTGGCTCCGCTCCTGTTACAGTCACCATGTATTCAATTACATCGGCGAATGATTGCCCAGAAAGGGACCCCTGCTGCTGGTGAGTCTCAAATAAGGTTTTTGATGGTAGTGAAGAACAACACATTCGTTTCAATCAACCTCTAGATTTTTTTAACTGCCAGATTTTCATCACTTCATTGAATCACTGTGCAATGCGTGATTTTGTGAAATATACCATTCCACCCATGCACTCTGTACACTGTATCAGGTCGCTGCAAGCCAGCAAGGACGGCGGAAAGACTTGGGGCGTTCTGGACACACAGGCTGCTGTGCAATTCAGCAGCAGGCATCAGACTCGAGTGTTTCCAATCGGCTCAGCTAAACAAAACCCAGCGACTCTATTCAGGTACAGCTTTGCCCCAGCGAGCGACTCTATTCAGGTACAGCTTTGCCCCACCGAGCGACTCTATTCAGGTACAGCTTTGCCCCACCGAGCGACTCTATTCAGGTACCAAAACAAAGCTAGACCCATTGAGGGATGTGCCTTGCTGTGCAGCTATGAAGCTTTGTGGATGTCGTTTCTTCTATGCTTTCCTACCACTCCTCTTTGCATCTGCAGATCTGTATGTGGCAAATGCCAAACCATATCAGGGCAACTCTGCATTTCACAGGCTTAAACGTTTGCAACATGGCAGGGGTCACTTCGTAACTTGACTGTACAGCCCAGCTAACAGGGCAATTGTAAGATTCACAAGAAACTCTGGCAATTACCCCTTTCTTCCTTCCCTCCCCTTATTTGTCTCGCAGGCTTGTCATCTCAGCCGTCCGAGATCCTTCCTGCAGCTGCCTTCAGCTTGCGTGCTTTGACCTTTACACTGCACGCCAGCAGCCTGCACAGGCAAATGATCAGAATACACATACAGCCACAGGAGCTGTGGACGGCAATAGCCATGCCGTTTGTGATGAGGGAAAAGCTTCACTGCCATCTTCAGTGGTTACCGCAGCAGCTGCAGCAGCGGCTAGAGAGCAATTTGCTGTGGCAGTACGTGAAGAGTTTCAACGTCTCGTGGTGGAAGAGAAGGTACCTGCAAATGAGGCAGCTGCGCGAGCTCTGAAGCATGTGCAAGAGAGGTTGAGTAAAGGGAAAGCATGATTGTGCTGAATCAAAACTGCAATTTGAATTGAAAAAAAAAGTGCATAACAGAACTGCACTCAATTCCTGTTCGTGTAACACCATCATTTGATTTGAACCGCTCTATGCTTAGTCAAAACAGCGCATCCATTACGCCCCACCCATAGACCAGAAAAATACATCCATGTGGCAACCCTTCATGCATTCTCTACTTTCACCACCATGTTCAGAACAACTGCATCACTTGTGCTGAATTTCAAACATCCGTGGTGTCCGCATCTTCAGCTTCTCCAGCATTGTTGGTCCTTTGCTGGGACTCTCCTTTGGAGACGCAGTGGAAGGATGTCCTCCTACTTCAACTTTTGCCAGACACTCCTTCATAGCTGCCGCCTTTATCTCTGCTTCCTCTTTCTTCCGTTTGGCTTCCTTCACTTCAATGCTTAGCTCTTCACGTAATTTCTTTTCATGAGCCAGCTGCTCTTTCAGATTCTTCCTCTCAGCATGGAGATCTTCAATCATGCTCTTGCAATCAGAGTGTTCAAGGATCTGCACATGAGAAATGCACGTTAGGAACATACTATACATACAAGATTCAGAAGGGATTGCAGGTTTTACCTTTGCAGAAAGATTCTGCAGTGCAGACTGAAGAGATGCGTTTTCAGACCTCAAGACTTCAACATCTGATTTGAAGGGCTGCTGCTGATTCTCTGGCTCCTTTGCACTTTCCTCTTCCTCATCAGCCTCACTTGTGGATCCAGCAGGAGGTTCTGCTGCAGACAATCTCGCGTGAGAGATAGGGTCATTTGAAGCCCGAGATGTCCTGACTGAACTTCCCATCTCAGCTGCAGACATAAGCGTCTTGATCACTTCCTTGGACTCATCAAGCTGGCGCTCCTGCACCTTCACCAACTCCCTCAGCCTCCACAGTTCTTCATGTTGAGGGCTCACTCCAGTCTCCTGGGACAACGGTTCTTCAGCCACTGCAGCACCGTTGACATCAGCACCCAAGGGATCTGTTTTCCTGTTCTCTCTCTCGCCCTCCTTCACTGTCTCGGCATCTTCAACATCTTTCCGCTGTTGCGAGTTCTCTGATCTTTCCTCCCCAAGCACCGTACCAGCAATTTCACCGTGCAGATCCTTCTTAAGGGAGTCTTGTGCATTAGCAAGTTTCCTCTCCAGCTCCTTGTTCCTGGCCAGCATTTCACCAAGCTTCGCCTCCAGCTCATGCACCTTGCCCTCTTCCGCCAGAGCCTTAATCTCAGCTCGCGCCCGTTTCTTTGCCTCATCTCCACTTCTGAGCTCTGCCAGAGACCGCTTCTTTCCTTCCTCCTGAAGCTTGGCCTGAAACTCCCTTCGCATTTTTTCCTCCTCCTTTCTGAGCTTCAATTCCTGGCGATTAAACGCTTCCATCTTGCGACACCTTTCAGCTTCCTCTTTCAACTTCAGCTCCAGCTCCAGTCGCTTGTTTTCCGACTCCTCAAGCTTCAAGGTCATGCCCTTCAACACCTCCTGATCAGCCTTCACTTTCATATTGTACTCCTTATGCGTTTTCTCAACCTCATTGAATGCTGTCTCAAGCTTCTGCCGCTTCTCTTCTTCTTCCTTCGCCTTGACTTCTGCCATGCGTCTTAAATGTGCAGCCTCATGCAGCTGGCATTCCACCAGCTCCAGCCTCCGTTGAAGTTCAACAACTTTTTTCTCGGCATTGATCCGAAAAGACCTCTCAGAATCAAGCTGGTTTTCCATCTCTTGTCTCAGTTGTTCCCCTTCACTTGCTGTGTGCATAGCGTCAGCCATTTGCTTTTCGAGAACCCTCTTCCGTGCCTCTGCATCCTTCCGTTTTTTCTCCTCATCCAAGGCCCTTGCTTCGGCCTCCTTCCGCTTGTTGGACTCAGTGACGAACTTCGCCTCAGCTCCAAGTCTCCTCTTTTCTTCAGCTACAGCCTTCTTCTGTGCTTCTTGTAGAGATAATTCGAGCTTTTCGATCCTGCCTGATGCTTCTCGAACAGCAATCTCATCATATGCTTTGCCGACAGAATTTTCAGCTCGCTTCATTATCTCCACTTGACTGATAGTTCCTTGAATAGAAGCAGCATTTACCTGAAATATGGCAATGTCAGGAACCACCATGTTCACAGGCAACAATGCCTCAGTAACAGAAGTGCAACATACCTGACTTGATCGCTTTGATCCATAACGATGAAACATTTGGACAACATCATGTCGCTTATTAGACTCGGCTATTTGCAATGGCGTCTTCCCATCCTGAAACAGATTAGGTTAACTTGGGCTGTATTGGAAATGTCTCGGTTTGAGGATCTTACCTTGGTCTTGGCAGTCTTGTCAGCTCCTCTTCGCAGCAATACTTGTGCGAGCTCGACTGTGCCGAATGCTGCTGCGCAGTGCAGCGGAGTAAAGAATTTCTGCATGGCAATTCTCGTTTCAGTAAATAGTGGAAGGCATGTCTCACGACTGCCAAGAATTACCTGATCCCGTGCATCGTGATTGGCTCCAGATTCTAACAGCATGATGACTTCCACGATACGTCCAAGCATTGCTCCGAGATGGAGAGGCGTTTGACCTTCCTGTAGTAGGAGTGAATATGACTGACGCACCGGAAAATTGCATTCAAACACAACAAATCTAACCTTGTCTTGAGCATCTTTGTCAACGGAATGGTCAAGCAAACGCTTTACCGCTCCAGTTCCACCTCCCCAAACGGCATGACGCAGAGCAGTCCATTGGCCCTGATACATGCGACGAGAATTTTGAACGGATGTTCGTGGAAAAAACAGCAATCGAATTGCATGCTACGAACCCAAGTGTCACGTGCTTCAGATTTCGCGCCTTTGATAAGAAGGACGTCGACAATACGCTCGTGGCCGAGCCTTGCAGCCACGTGGAGAGGAGTTTGGCCTTCCTGAAAATCGAAAACTATGACGTCATGATTCAATTCTGGAACGTTAAGATTACGAAGAGGAAGGGAGCTTTCTTACAGCGTCCCTCGCTTCAATGTCGACTCCCTTGTCCAGAACCTTCAGCACTTCACTGAAATTCCCCTCCCTAATAACTTTGTGCAACAGGCGTTGACCTGGAAAATGAATTTGTTAAATCGAACTGCAACAACTCAGTCATATCCGCAAAATTCGCTAACAACTTACCCTCCATGGTCGGCTAGGCGTGGTCCTCCAGGACGCTAGTTCTAGGTATGCACAAAAAACAATGAAAGCAGGATTATTGTTTCTGGTGCTGCCCGCAGTAAAGATGGCTCTAGGGAGTTGAGCTGGCCTCTCCGCTGACGTTGACGAAGTGGTTTCCAGTGACGGGTGTTCGCGACCCCGTCGAAATTACCGATCAAATTGCTCAGATTCGAAGTGACACCACTCTGGGCTGGTTACCGGAGTGCATGAATTTCAACGAACTCTTTGGTTCGTGAGGTTGATCCCCATCCATTTTCGTTTCCCTGCTTCGCACCCAGTCCTGCTATTCCCTTTTTCGCAACTACTGCACCCCATTCTTCGTTGCGAAATCTGGCAATAAAAAAGGTACAGTATCCGTTTTGTTACTCCACATTTCTTTCCCGCATATTCGCCCAGAGCTACGTTTGACCTGCCACTGCGGAGTTTGACCCACCAAACCAAGCTTCTCAGCACAGCAGCTGGAATGACAGAGATGCAAAACGGAATTCCTTCTGCTTCTTCCATTCCAGACATCCATATCGTCCCATGGTAGCATCTTCAACCTTAGATTCGGCTCGTCTCGTTTGAGAACACCTCGAGTGAATCCTCGTCTCTAATTTGCATTGTTCTTTTGCCGTAACTTGCACTGAAGAAATCGTCGCGACGAAATGTCTTTCAGTGTTAGCTTCAGGGTTCCGTCTGATCTGATTCGAGGTGAATCCGGCGATCAGCATGTTGTCTTCTTTGCCGTAGCTAGCGCTTAAAGAAATCGTCCCGACGAAATGTCTTTCGGTGTTAGGTTCAGGGTCCCGCCTGATCTGATTCGACGTGAATCCGACGATCATGGGAACAAAGAGGTAGCGGGATGCTCTAGCAATGGCGTCGTCAGTAGCATATCATGTACCGACAGCTGTTCTGAAAGTAAGCCATCTCAATCGTCTTACGTGGACGTTGCTATACCTGTCGCTCTAAAAGAGCCTCTTCGATTAGTATTCCACAGACTATTTAAGTCCCATCTGCCAAACTGCTGCTTACCATGCGAATCACAAGAACTAGCATTAGACGGCGGGAGAGCGCTGGAGGAAAGCCGGTCAGCGGCTCGGACCCAGCAGGTCCGTTTTATGGTACTTGGCCAGGTGGTTTACCTCTCACCTGATTCAACCGTAGAACAGGCGAAGCTCAAATCTACTTCGACCATCAAGGTGCTTCCCGTGAAAGTTGTGCATAGTAAAGCCAAGGCGAAAGCTGAACAGGGTGCGATCAGTCCTGCTGCTGACCCTGCTGTCAATGTGCCTCGTGCTGTCGCTGCAGCTCCAAATACTGCTGCTACCACCTCTGCGCCGGATGCTGTTGTGCTCCCTCCTCCGGCTGATGCTTCTTCTCCTGCTCCAGCCGCAGCACCTGCTTCTGCTGCGCTTCCTGATGCGGCTGCTCCTCTTGCTGCTGCTACTACCAGCTCTATTGACTACAGCAAATGGGACCACATTGCTTCCAGCAGCGATGAAGAGGAGGAGCACGGACTGATGAAAGAATTCCCAGGGGAACGCTGTGGGGGAAATGAAAGGGCTCATGCGTTGATACCCCCTAACGCGTCTTCCGCTTCTATATCTCTGGAAGCAACACGTCAAATCCTGTCAGGTTCGGAGGAGGTTCAGGAGATGCTGGAGGAGTTGCAAGTCCAAGACAAGCCAGGAGGATTTGGACAGGCAAAGGCAGAAAAAGCAGTTGTGGGGGAAACGGAGAAAACGAGGGTTCAGGAAAGACCAGAGAAGCTCCAGCTGCTGTCGCGCGCGGACATGGTTCACTACGTAGACGCGCGAGACGGTTGGGATGTGAAGGAATGCGAGTGCTGCTTCGACAGGGCAGTGAGCTACCGAGCACAGCGCGCTCTCAACATTGGCAACATCGAAACCTTCCGTCTTGAACTACACAACATGCTTCCTTCTTCCGTTCCTGCTGCGCCACCGATCCACCAAAGCAGGGCCGAGCTCGAGTTCTCCCTGAAAGTGCCGGTGCAGGCCCTAGGGGGCCTGGGGGGGGTACCACCGTTGGTACAGTTGGAGTGGAAGGAGAGAAACGCGCCCTACCAATGCGTGGAGGCAATGCTTCTCGAGTGGATGGCTGAGCCTCGTGTAGGTGTGCTCATGGACCTCGGGAGGATCAGATCCTGCCTGCCTGTTATTTTCGCTTCTGGCGACTCTTCTGCTCCTCCTCCCACGACCAGTCCTGCGGAACCTGAAGCTGTTGCTGCTGTAGCGTGGTCCAGCTGCTGGCGCTGCAGCGGCTGCTGGGCTGCCTACCGCCGTGCTGTCAGCTTCGCTGCCTTCCTCGCGCTTGTAGCGAGGTTCCCTCGGTTCGTGACTCTATGGAAGGCTCAGAAGGAGCTCTATGACACAGCCTACCCTTCCCTCGCGGTCGAATTGGGAGTAAGCCGGCAGGGACAGCCGGATGTCGCCGCGTCCACGCTGGTGCAGGTGCTGGGGGTGAAGGAGAGTGCTGATCTGCAGGAAGGGTTTGGGTTCTTCTTGCAGCATTTGCTGTCAGGCGGGCTGGAAAAGGCGCACGGAGAGGGGAAGGAGGGAACTGGGGGGAGTGCTGCTGAGACGGTGCATGCGGATGGGAGGGGAAGGGGAGGAGCAGGAAGGGATGCAGATGGCGTGGTTAGGGGGTCTATTGAGGACATAGGGAGGTTGAAAGACGGCAGGATGGCTAAAGAGGTTGTGATGATGCCGTGGATGGGGAGCCCTGAAGCGTCGTGGGAGACGGGGATCCGACTCATGGCTGAAGCCATGACACGCATGGTGGAGGGCAGAAGCGGCATGGGGGGAGAAGCTGTGGCTGGAGCGGGCATGGGGCGAGACGGGGGCAGCAGAAGCGGCATGGCAGAAGAAGCTGAGGCTGGAAGCGGGAGGGGAGGAGCAGGGGAAGGTGGTGGAGGGGAGCAGACAGGCAGCAAGGAGGGGACGGATGGGTGTGATGGTGATGGTGATGGTGATGGTGGCAGGGATGGAAAAGGAGGTAAGTGGAGGGAGCATCTGAAGGGGCGTGTTTGGGAGAGGTATGTGGATGGCATGGCTTGGATTCTGGAGCATGGAGGTGGGGAAGGGAGGGATTTCAAGTGCAATCATTGCAGTGAGGAGGGCAGCAGCATCAGCGGCAGCAGCGGCGGCAGTGGCGGTGGCGGCAGCAGGAGTAGCAACAGCAGCAGCACCTGTAACAGGATGAAAGGCAAGAGAATTCCCAAGGGCATGTATGTGAGTGGCGTGGGTGCCACTGACTTTGCCCTGGCTGTCGCCTCAGTGTTTTCCAAGCCAGAGCACTGCAAGGAGGGGCGAGTGTACATTCTAGATGGGAACAATGCAAGCAAGACACGGGTGGAGGAGGCAGCTATTGAAGAGGCCAGGGAACGGCTGAGAAGGGAAAGCCAGAGAAGGGAGAAGCAGAGGCAGGAGATGAGTAAGAGAGGCAAGGGATGTGGAGCAGTGAGAGCATGCGGAGGGGTGGGAGAAGGTGTGGGGATGGGAGCAGCAGACGCAGCTGCAGAAACAGTGGCGCTTTCAGCTGCAGCAGCAGCACCAACAGAAGCTGCATGTGCTCCTTCTACTGCTGCTGCCTCAGCTGGAGCCCGAGCTTTGGGTGGCAATGGTGCTATCTGCAATCCTGTTAACTCGAACCCTGTTCTTGCGGTCTTCACTTATCGAGTCAGTTGCATCTTGCAGTGGGTGCGCATCTACGGCTCAGATTCCATCTCAGCAAAGCAATGCTCCAAGGACAGCCCACCAGTCAAAGTCCTGCCCATGCACCACCCCTTCCGCGACCTCCCAAGCCTACTGCTTAGGTTCGGTGCCATCCCCAAGCCTTCGGACGGAGCCAACGCTCCTTTGGAGTGGGACGAGTGGCCCTGGGGCGATGAAGGTGCTGTGAAGCTTCCTGAGGAGCCAAGTGCAAGATGCTTTGGACTGGGGATTCTGGATGAGAGTGAGGACAGTGAGGTGAGAGAAGAGGGTGGGAGCGGAGGGGAGGTTAGAGAGACACCACCAGAGCAGGCAGCAAGGGGTGGAGGCGGCAAGCGCAAGGGTGGGAGGGGTCGAAATGGAAAGGCGACCAGCCAAGGAGGTGGAGGTGGAAGGGGCAGAGTCAACACCGGGGGCAGCGGAGGTCAAAAATCCCACGCAGATGCTCCCGCACGGGCACTGTTACCTTCAAAGGGGAAGCTTCCTATCGTTCGCTGCACAGAAGATGCGGAATTTCTGGTGTATGTTACCGGCTTGTTCTTTGATCCCCCGCGGTGCGCCCAGTGCATTCCATGCTTTGCCCATTACAAAGCCCTCATTCCCTTCTCTGCTCTCATTGCCAACTTTGCCTTCCGCCCCGCCTCTGTTCTCTTTAACCGCTTCGTCTCCATCTTCCCGCCACGCTCCCCGGAATTCATGAAGCTTGCACAAACACTGCGTACGCACGACCCTTCCCCTGCAAAAAAATCGACTGCGCGCCGTGACCTGCCCGTGATTCGCGAGCAAGCAGAGAGGCTGCCCGTTCTCCTGCTGCTCTATATCGCCCTTAACTGGCCCATTTTCATCCTTGGCATTGACGAGGTGATGAAAATGGGGACGGTGGAAGCGCGAGGGGAAGCTGAACGTAAAATTGCAGAGCAACAAGCGAGGAAAGGGCACAGAGCTGGGAGTAAAAGAAACGGTGGGCGAGGAGAGGCGGAGGAGGAAGCGGAAGGGGAGGATGATGGGGAGGTGTGGGAGGAGGTGCGAACCTGGTGTGCCACTGCACTGATGGCATGGCCGTCCAGTGTGCGGGCCACGGGCAAGTGGTTCGACCCTGAATCTGTTGCATCGGGGCTCAGCCCTCCCTGTAGGGACAGCAAGCAGCCGGGCTCGCAGCTGCTGGCTTGTGCGTTCTTCCATTTGGCGGCACAGACGAGGTTCCATGCTGACGTGGACGGCCAGGATGGGTCGGGTAGAAGCAGCAGTGCCGGCACCAGCAGCAGCAATGGCGGCAGCGGCAGCGGCGGCGGCGGCGGCGGCGGCGGCGGCGGCGGCGGCGGCGGCGGCGGCGGCGGCGGCGGCGGTGGCGGCAGCAGCAGCAGCAGCAGCAGCAAAAGGGGCTGTAGCAGCAGCGGTGGTGGCAGAGGGAGCAGCGACAGTGAGGGGATGGGTGAGAGAGTAAATTTGCCGGATTATCTTCAGCCATGGCCAGGGGGGGTCAATTTGCTCGCATGTCTGCGAGAGATGCTGCTAGGGGAGCCGTGTTACCGCCCTGCCTCCCGTGCTGAGGCTCCCATCCCTCCAGCAGTAACAACCCTAGTGAGCTGTGCGCCTGCTCCTTGTGGGGACTGTGTGTGCGGTGCTGTGGGGTGTGGGAGGGCGGACGGCGGTGGTGTGAAGCTGAAGAACTGCTCTGGGTGTGGCAAGGTGGCGTATTGCAGCAGAGAGTGCCAAAAGGCGCACTGGCCCTCCCACAAGCTCACATGCCCCGGCAGGATCAGCGGCCGGGGTGGTGGCAGTAGCAGCAGTGGCAAGGTGAGTGGCAAGGTCAGTGGCAGGATCATCAATGTCCTTGGGTAGAGATAGTAAAGAGCGAAGGTGAAGGTTTTGTGCATTGAATGTTGAGTAGAGGAAGAGGCACGTTAATAGTTGAGGCATTATTCCCAAGCAGCAGGAGCAGTAGGAGTGGTTGCAGCACCAGTGGCAAGTCGAGAGGGACAGTGAGTGTGACAAGCACTGGTAAAAGCAGCAGTCGAGGTGAAAGAAAGGTTAAAGTATGGTGAGTAGAGGTGTGGGTACTGTAAGTCGGCGGCAGAAGTACCCTTCTCTTTCCCATGCTTTTGAGGGAAAGCTCGCTTCATCACAGAGTAACAGCTGCGAAGCTTGTGTTCTTGCTGTAATTCCCATGCATTTGGCTTGCGTATTGCTATGGACCAATGACCATACATGCATTTTGGCTTTCGCCATTAGATGCATGTCTCTGAATGCGCTTTCTTCCTCATTTCCATCTGTCCCCTCCATTGTTCACCCCTTTTCCTCAAACGTGCAGGTTCAGTGAGAATGACTGACTGCTACCGTGTACCCAGAGATTCCACTGCCCTCCCAGCGTATTCACCCATTCTCATAGATGTACTACAATATCCATTATGTAGTACAATGGGGAGGATGGCATTTGTCAACAACCAAGTGGTAACTACCATATTGCACAAGCATGTGTTTACGCGTTGGTGTAGCCTTCATGTGATGTGAACCATAACCAGCTTGGAACTGGTTTAGCCTTTCAACTAGGAACCCTCTTTCAGAGTGAAGTTAGGACCCAGCATGCAGCACCATAGCAAGACTCACATCTGGCCATCAGCTCATCTCCCTAAGTACAACTGCTCCAGCCATTCAGCACCGTCCCTCCCTTCACTTTCTCTCCAGGAGCACAAGCCGCAGTGGCTTTGCCAGTGCCACGGTAAGACTGAACTCCTCTCCCAAGTCCACTCCACCAGACTTCACCACGTTTTCAGGCAGCTTCAAGCTAAACCGGTGAATGAAATTGGCCAGCATGCGAGCAGATAAATCCATTCCCAGATTCAAACCCACACACCCACGCCTGCCCGAACCAAACGGCAGCACACAAAAATCCTGCCCGGTCACATCAGGAGCAGACGGGACGAGAAACCTGCTGGGGTCAAATTCATCGGGGTTGGTCCAGACCGTTGGATCGTGAGCGAGACCCCAGCCGTTGATCTGAATGATCGTGTTTGAAGGGATGGTGTAACCGCCAATAGCAACACTGGCAGTTGTCATGTGAGGGATGAGGAGTGGTACTGGTGGGTGGTGCCTCAGAGTCTCTTTGATCACCGCCTGAAGATACGGCATCTCTTGTACTGGGAGAGATGCATTTTCCTCGCCCTGTTTCCCCATGCCATCCCCTACCGCAGCTGACTTGGCATGCGCCGCATCCACCTCAGCTTGGAGGCGTTCCAGCATGGCCGGGTGCCTTGCCAGCTCAGCAAGGGCCCATTCCACGGTTTTGGCAGTGGTGTCCGTGCCAGCATTCATCATGTCCATACACAGCAGCATCATATCTTTTCGGGTAACCCTATCCTCCCCTTCCCCCTCCATCTCCAACAGAGCATCTACCATCACTCTTTCCGCCTCCTCTCCCTCTCCCTGCTTTTTCAGCATCTCGCTTCTTTCCTCGATGCACGCATACAGAAACCCGTCTGTATTCGGTTTGAGCCGCTTCGCGCGCCAGTAGATGCGCTGCGGGTCCAAAGGGCTGAGCCATGGAACGAAATCCGCCAAGTTAAATGTCCCCATCACCTGAAACGTCTCGTCCACCATCGCAATGACCTTCTCGCCTTCCATTTCATCCTCCGCCGCATCCGCCGCAGATCGCGGCGAAGTTTCCGCAAATTTCTTGGCCAGCCGTCCCTCCCAGTCCGTCTTGTAAGCCGCGTCGAGGATCTCGCCAGGCGCGGCAGCAGCGGCGCGACGGATCGTGCTGTAGGTGTAATGCTTTCCGACAGTCAGCCGCAGAATGAGGTTGAGAGTCGCGCGGTTCAAGTACCCTCGCAGTTCCACGCCTCTCGCATCCCCGTTATTAGCCACTTCGGCAATCGCGTCGAGCATGGCGCGGATTTCCCGCTCTCGCACGGTTAGGCTCTGCTGTAAGACCCGTGCCGTCAGGAGATGCAGCGTCGCCAGCCGTCGCTGCGTTCGCCAATGTTCGTCGGCCGGCGAAAAAACGATGTCCTTCCCTCCGTCCGTCATAAATGCGAGGAGGCGTAAGAGAGGGCGTGAAGAGCAGATCTTATCCTGCGATTTAAGCACCTCGCGAGCCAGCTCCGGGGAGGATATAATCACAGACGGAAACGACCCGAGCCACACGGTCAGGATTGGACCGAACCTGTCCGCCAGCTTCGCGAGGGTGCGGTACGGCAGGACGCCTAGGTCCGGAAGGTTACCGAGGATGGGCCACGGGGAAGGGCCTGGAGGTAAGGAATAGCGACGACGGAGGAAAGTGAGCCATGATGTCGAGATGTATAACGCGATTGCAGCTATTATCGCCGTGACAAGCGACGGAATTTGACAATAATTACCAATAGCTACCCAAGCTTCCGACGCGGCAACTGTCTGAGTGTCCATGTTTCCTACTCCTGGATTTCTTCGCAGTCTGCCTTGCGGATTCACTAGGCGCTGTCCTTTCTAGATTCGACGCTGGTACCTCCGCACTTGTCAAATGATTTCTTTGGTCAGCCATGAGTCTGTAATATCTGTGGAGGAGCGATCAATGCAGAAGCATGAACTTAGAGAATGTCGAGTGGATAGAAGGATCTGGATCGCGGGATGGTATTAGTTGAATTGAAAATCGGCAGGTATGTGATTCGTGGCTGGAAAACGTAATCTCTCATACCGAGGCCGACAAGACGGCTAATCCTAGGCTCGGTTTGCGCGAGCGCTGGATGGTTGGTTTGGGTGTGACCTTGAGCATTGACCCAGTTTCCGAATTGCAAATACGAAACAGACGTTCGCTAAAAGCACCCGGTAACATCGCGAACGGAACTCCTTTTGTATTTCGAGGCGTGAGTTTGTTTCCAGTGTTGGGTTTAGGCGCTTATGATTGGTTAACGAGTGACGATGCTTGGTTTCGCAAACCACAGGCAAGGTCAAATAGGTTGGAGACGGTCACATACGACGGGGTACGATGTCGTACGTGTCAGAGCGGTATCACCCGTTTCTTTACGTTTGGGTGGGGTTCCGAGTAACTAAGGTCATACAGTACAGGCAAACACAGATCGTCCGGAACAGTTGTAATAGCCATCACTTCCGTCCTGCAGCAGTTCGCTCACACGAGTCACCACGGACAATTGTCCGTTCTCCCTGAGAATTCAGGATTAGTTTAATAGCATCTCAGAGATTTTTAGCGTTTGTTTTCCCTTGGCCCGGATTCATAACGGACAGCATTGGGAAGATTTCCCGGACGGGTCGAAACAGTCATTCTGCAACTACACCCTGTTTCTCGCTATTGTAAATTCCGGTATACTGAACCCTCTGGCTCAACGCGCCAAATTACGCGCTATAGTCAACTTTTGCATCAGTTCGGTTTGACGAGGTCAGCTACCTTTGAAGACGGTCAGTTGAATTTTTAATATGGCTCGGTAGGGTACCCAGGTTAACGAAATTTCGGATCACCCGCCTCCTAGAGACGGTTATTGTAAACTTTTCGAATAAGTCCAACGAACAGTTCCACTGTTCAGTGTGTTTCCGCAGTTCAGTGTAGCGAGAAACAGGGTGTAGCTGATACGAAATTCGTTTGTAAAGCGCAGAGTGGGAGGGATGGAAATCCCTGGGAGTGGGTATCCCTGATATGCGTGGAAGATCTTCCGATGTTCGACGAACACTGTCATTGAAATACCTCGTTAGCTTTGTTTTTCACGGTAGAGCCTTCGTATAACGGAGTCGTTTAGAAGTTTACCCGTCACGTAATTGTACCCGTTAAATTACAACCACTTTAAAATCATAGCTCACCGTCATTGTGGAGCCTGGCTATCATTCCGCTGCAAGCACTACAGTGCCTAATCCACGAACCTGAAATTCGTTTGTTAAGTGCTCGTCCACAATACCTCACAGAAGAGTTGAATCCCTCGCAGAGGTAAATTTTTAAAATAGAAACAATTTAAAGGGTGTGGAGGTCTTCGGATGCTCGAAAAGCACATCATCATAATACCGCGTTATAGCTTTGTTTTCGACAGTAGAACCTTTCGTATAACGGAGTCGTTTAGAAGATTACCAGTCACGTACTTGTACCCTTTAAATTACATTTCACTGTTTAAAATAGCTCACTGTGCCTGATCCACGACCCTGTGACATTCGTTCGTAAAGTGCTCATCCACAAAAATGTCACGGAAGTGTGGGCAATCTCTGGCAGAGGTAATAGTAGAAACAATTTGAAGGGCGGAAAGTTTTTTCGGATGTTCGACAAACACCGTCTTTGAAATACCTCGTTATAGCTTAGTTCTCTTCAGTAGAACCTTCATATAACGGAATCGTTTAGAAGATTACCCGTCACATAGTTGTACCCGTTAAAGTACACCTCATTTTGAAGCATAGCCCACCGTCATAATGGGGCCTGGCTATTATTCCGCTGCAAGTACCATCGTAGCTGATTCACGAATATGTGTAATTCGTTTGTAAGGTGCTCCTCCACAAATACGTCACCGAAGTGTGGACAATTTCTGGGAGAGGTAATTTTTCTCATAAACACAATTTGAAGGGTGTGGAAGATGTTCGACAAACACCGTCATTGAAATACCTTGTTAAAGCTCAGTTTTCAACAGTAGAACCTTTGTATGATGGAGTCGTTTAGAAGATTACCCGTCACCTTTTTGTACCCGTAAAATCACACCTCATTCTTTAGCATAGCCCACCGTCCCACCACCCCCCCGTTTCCTCAGTGTGCTTTGCTCTGTAAAGTAGGTACCTAGACAACTTAGGTTTCTGATCCATGTGGCTCAGAGCAGGAATCAGAATAGCCTAATTAGTTTGGGCTGGATTGGGCTGCTTTCCCGATATTTCAGGGCTCGTTTCAGGCCAGCTCTGTGTAAGGTTTGGCTTCTGACCAAGCGACAGCCCTGACTCACCACCATGGAATCCTCAATCGCATAGCTCACCCGCACCGCCTGTGGAAGCACACGCGAACCCCGCACGCATGGTCGCTTTCGCGTGTACCATTTCATTCCGCCATAACGTGTATTTTCCAGGGTATAGTTACCGCGGCGCCATTGTGGAGGAGCCGTCGAAGTCGCGGAGCAAACACACGACAACGACTTTCAGAATTCGGACACGACCCGTGCGCTTTTTTAGAATCCTGAAGAGTTGGACACGACCTGTACGGTATTCGCTCCTCTTTTTCCGCATCGTTTCGAAGAACCGCGACGGTTTACTTCTTTCGCGCATCGCAACATCACCGCAAGCGAAAACTTTGGACGTAGGTTTACCACCTGACCGTGGCGTCCGTTTGAATGGCTGACTAGGATCACAAGTTTTTTCGGAGCGCGTAAGAACCGCCGGTAGCGAAATTATTGAAAGGTTTCACTGAAGATGTTCGGGTTCCTTCCCCTCGATCCCCGTCAATTCCCGTCGATCCCCGTCAATTCCCGTCGATCCCCGTCAATTCCCGTCGATCCCCGTCGATTCCCGTCGATCCCCGTCGGTTCCCGTCGATCCCCGTAAAAACCGTTGCTAGAATGACGATCGGCGAGCACCAGGGAAAGGGGAATAAGCGCGGGGAAACTGATATTTGAGGCGCCTAAAATATCGTCAAAAGCTAAGCTTCCTTCCCTTCGATCCCCGTAAAAATCGCTGCATGTGTAGAACGATGATCGGCGAGCACGAGGGAAAGGCGAGAGAGAGCGGGGAGTCTGCTGGTGAAAACTACTTTTGAGGCGATGCTAAACTAAGAAATGATGATCGGCGAGCTCCAGGGGAAAGGCGGTGAGTGAGCGCGGGGAAACTATCCCTTTAGGCGCCTAATTTTCTCCCGAAAGCTATGGTTTCTTCCTGTCGAATCTAGAATGACCGTATGCTAGGAATAATGATAGGCGAAAACGAAGGGAAAGTAACGCGTAACGCGCGTGTCAAAGGTAAGATGAGGGAATGTTTTTTGGGGATTCTGAAAGTGACTTTCAACGCGCGTGCCAAAAAAATACTGTACTGAGGGTGAGAGCATGGAGGCATTATGGTTGAAGCCCTCGGGAATATATGGGTGTTGCGTGGGGGAACTGTTGGGTGGGCCCTGGGATATACGGATGATGGGTGACGCGCGTGTCAAAAGATTGATGAGGGAATAGAGTGATGTTGCATGGGGGAACCATGGTTGAACCCCTCGGGAATAAATGGGTGTTGCGGGGGGGAACTGTTGGTAAGCGCTGAGAGAATTACGGATGACAGGTAACGCGCGTGTCAAAGTATTGATGAGGGATGAGATCAGGGGGAACCATGAATGGGTTTCTGGGGGGGAGATAAGTGAGCGTCGGGGGAATGATGGGTTTGGGGAAAGGGGGAATGGTGGGTGAGGGCACGGGGAGAGATAGATGAGCGTAGGGGAAATGATGGCTGTGCGCCTGGGGAAAGCGGGGTGAGCTCGAGGGAACTCACAGGTTTAGGGAGTGGGGGAATGGTGGTTGAGGGCACGGGGAGAGACCGATGAGCGTGGAGGGATATGAGGTAAGGATGGGGAGGGCATGAGGGGTGACTGAGCGCAAGGTTATTCTGGGTTGAACGCGCAAGGGCAGGGGGAGTGAGGGGTTAATGGGGGGCCGAATGAGGTAAGAGTTGTTATAAAGTAGAGGTGAACGAGAATGGATGAAACTAGGTAGGAGGGGGATACAAGTAGGAAACCCTAACAAAGTTGTACCCCCTAAGGCTAAACCCACTATAGCCTACACAATTTAAACATATAATGTTTGACACACCCCCATAGGCTAAGTGGGAGACAACCAGATGGTCACAAGACCAGTCAAAGCAAAGTAAAGCAAGCTCAGGGTGGATCTCAAGGAAACCACACAAATTCTGAGCACAAGCAAGTGGTCACAAGACCAGTTCACATGCAGGTTGATAGTATAACAAGA